GAAATAACAAAGAAAACATGAAAAATTGGGGAAAAATTTCAACAATAAATAAAAAAATAAATTTTTTTTAAATTGTTTAAAGTCCATTTTTTGGGTATTTTATAGCACCAATAAAATATAAAAAAAATAAAATTTTTTCCTAAAGTAATGTCATTTCGGGGTATTTTAAAATAACAAAAATTTAAACATTAATTTTTGCACAAAGTAAAAGTATTTTGGGGTAAATTTTTTACCAATTTTAAATAATAAAATAGCAAATTTTTTTCAAATAAAGAAATGGCCCTTTTTTGTATTATTAAATGATTATTTAAAAACGAACATAAGAAAATTTTTGGATAAATTATAAGTTTGTGTTTTTTTTTTATCCAAATTTTTTTATTTAAAATAATAATTTTGGTTTAAGCTTACTTAAATTATTGTACATGGCATTTTTTTTGATTAAATAAAAGTTTCCAAAAACACTTTAAAATTTTTTCAAATTTAAATATTTAATGTTTTAAAATCCCAAATTTTTCTGTTTTTTAAAAAAAAATATGTAAAAAATGTTTAAAAAAAGGTTTCCGAAATAAAAAACAAAAAACAAATTTTAAGATTTTTTTAAAATATAATAATTTTTTTAAAATTAAAACATTAAAGCAGCACAGGGTTCTTAATATTTCTCCCGGGAGAGGGAAAAACCTTTAAAAAAGGCAAAAGGGTTTTAAAAGGGTTTGGGTTCAAAAGTTTAAAAGGGATGTATGTAACGTTGAAAAAATTGGGGGAGTTCATATTAAAACCCGATATATAAATAAAGAAAAATTAAAGAAATTTAAAAGGAATATATTGTTTTAATACTAAAAGCTCCCAATTTATCTTGTTTAGTCAATTTTTCGTTTGTTTACAGTGGTTTACCTTGATAAATCCCCATTGTCTTTTTTATTGCTGGTAACCCAAATTTTATGAGTGGGAGGTAAAGGAAAAATTAAAAAGTGTTGTTGTCTTTCCCTTTTATAAAATTAAACATGTGGGGAAGTTTTAAAAAAAGGGGCTGTATTGTTGACGGGGGAAAGTGAACCCAGTAGAGCCCCTTTAAATGCACGAGATGCACGTATTTTCTCCCCCAGCAGCTATCACCCGAAAAATTTCACATTGGGGCCCGGATTTTAAAATTTTTTTCTTTCTAATAATTTTGTTATGGGAAAATAGGGTTTTAAATGAGTTTTTTTTAAAAATTTTAAAAAATTAAAATAATTACTTATAAAAACAATTGAATGATTGGGGGATGCACAAATATTTTGGGCCCAAAATTTCAACAAAATGTTTTTGGAAAAATTTGGAAATAAAAAAAACAAATAAAGTTCTTTGTAAATTTTATTTCTTAAAAATTAAAAAAATAATCAATAAAAAAATTTTTTGAAAGTTTTTTAGAAAATTTTCTAACTTAATTCATTCCAAAATTTTCAAAGCATTTTTTTTATCTGTAACAACATTCTTTAAAAAAAATTTGAATAAATTTCAAAATGCCCTGGTTAAACATGTTTTCCCTTTTTTATTATTTTTGTTTTGCTTGTCATTAAATTTTTGGCTCAACCCCCTCCCTATCACTTGGGCATAACCCGAAAGTTTTTTCATAAGAAAATTTAAAACAACATTTCCTTTGTTACTTTTTTGTTCATTTTGAAATGTAGCTTTTAAAAAAAAATTCATTACATTAAAAATGTATCATTTTTGAATTCAAAATGTTTGAACTTAAAAGGAATTAGTGGCCCCCTTTTAACTTTCCCGAAATTAAATTCTTATTTTTTTCCCCAATTGAGAAAATAATAAAAAGGGACAGATTTCTTAAAATTTTCAACATTGGAAAATACTTTTGTTTCTGTTAAAATTTTCAGAAATAAGAAAGGGGGTGAATTTTCTTTTCTGTAAAAATTTTCACCCCAAAATATTTTGATAATTTTTGTCAACCCAAAAAAAACAAACAAATTGGGAAATTTTTTTAATTTTTTCCCTTTTAGGAAAATTTTGGGTTTTTTAAATGGATTAAAAAAACTGTACTTGATTTTCCACTCTGGGGGAACTTTACTGTTTTTTACCCCCCTCTTTTCCCCATCATCGTCTTTTTTTAAAATAAATTTATAAAAAAAAATTGTTGAGGTTTTATTAATCAAAAAAAATAGGAATTTTTCCCAACAAAATTTTTTAAGTGAATGAACACTGGGCCCCCAAAAAACGAACATGCCCAAATTAAAATGCCCATTGAAAAAAACTGTTCAAAAAGGGGGATTTTAATGCTTAAAATCTATTTTAACCCCTATATACAAAAAATTAGAACAAAATTTTCTTTTAAGGGCCAGGGAAAATGCGAGTTAGGGTTTTATAAAATCCAAAAATTTTTTTTTAGAGCCTTACAATTTGTAAAAATAAAAATAAAATGAATGAAAAAAAATTTTCATTAAAATTAACCCTTTTTTGAATGGGTTACCCTTAATTTGTTTTTGACCTTTTTCTCGGCCTTTCTATTATTAAAGGGAAAAGATTAGTTTCCCCCAGACAGCCCCTTAAAAGGGCGCAGTGCCGGTTTTTTGGGGCCCTTCCCCTTTTATGGGTTCCCTGTCCTAAGGTATAAAAATTCAAAATTTGGGTTTCCCTTTCCTCTACTGTAAGTGGGGGCATTTATTTCGATTGGCACGGAGTCCTTTGTAAGAAAAACATAAAAAGTAAATTTTCATAACTACTCAAAATTTTGGGGAACCTTTTTGGGAAAAATATTATAATTATTAAAACGAAACGATGAAAAAAATTCCTCTAGAACATTTTTATATCAGTAATTAACGTAAAAATCTCATAATAATAGTAAAAAAGAAAAAACAAATTTGGGTGCAAAGCATCCCAAAAGGGGGTCCCAAGCAAGAAAAGGGGAGCAAAGTGAAGATGAAATAGTAAAACTTGATGACAAGATATTCTTTTAAACCCATCCAGAAATGTATTTCCATTTATGAATGAAGGGGGACGAAAGGGCATTGGTTTTTTTTAAAAAAATTTAATGAAAAAATTTTTTGATTTTGGGAAAGCTAGAGATTAGAATTTACTTGTTATTTTTTTTATGATCGGGTTTTTAATACAATGGATATAATGTAAAGGCAATCATTTATAATCCATATGTGTAAAAGCAAAGAGCAACACGGGGAAACCCCACTTTTTTCCCTTATTATGTTACGCTTTTTAAGGGGAAAACCCCCTTTAAGGGATCTGTTTCCCCTTTAAGTTAGTAAAAATATGACAATGGTTTTTTATTAAACCAGTTTAAACAAAGTTGAGCATAATTGGGTTTTTCAATACAAAAATTGTAATAAACTATTTTTTTTTAATTAAAAAAAATAAAAAATTTTATAAATATTGTTTTCTTTTATTCTTTTTGGTGTTTTATGTGCTATTTTTTTAATACTGGAGTTTTAAACTACTCTTTTTTATTAAAATTGTAAATAAATTTTAAGAATTCAAATTGTCATATTGAACCGACCGATTATAAGTCAAAGCTTAACTGGAAAAAGTCAGTAAAAATTATTAATTATGGTTTTAGTCTTCAATATATATATTGTATATTCTTAAACCATTGTACATGTACATTGTATTTTTCTTTATCATTTTTTTAAAAAATTATCGATCAATTGAATAATTCATAAAAATCTAATTTGTAACTTTGAATAATTCCTCGGCATCTTTACTAAACACGGATAACAAATTAAATAATTAAATAAAATGTTTCAAAGTTGATAATGTCATTTTAATACCATAAAAAATGTACCTTTTTCTCAATTATTGTACATATCACGGATTTATGTTACATATAAATCCGTGTACATATTTATTGTGTTTATCTCATATAGATAAAATGAAACATGCTATTGTTGTTTTTTTTTCATAATTGTAACGATAATCAAACATCTACTCCAAAAACGGGTGAGACGCGGACAATAAACGTGTGGTACTATTCGCCGGTCACTAGTAAATCCTGGTCAAAATAGACCGGGAGAGACCGGCATTTACCGATAGGAGTGATAAATATAGGATATATCTATAAATAGGTGTTTGGAATATTTAGGTCATCAACTGATCATTCTAGGATACATGTACAACAAACATACCATGATAACCGACTGTGTATTACAAATGATAAATAAAAATCCCGAAGAGCGAAATTTATTGACGGAAAAGAGTTATTTCATTTGAAAATGTTTGCATTGCGAAAATTCATTGTAACATATCGCGACATTTTTCATTCTTATTTAATAATCAAGCACCCTCATACCGATCGGAATTACGGCTTTTATTATGCCGACTAAAAACACTCGAAAGAAGTTGCTGTCGGCCCCTTTACAAAAATCTGATTCTACATCCTAATGAGCGCCGCGCTTCGGCGCGGACGCCAATAATAATGTTTCTTTTCGGTGCCTTAAAAATTTACTGTAACTTGATAATATACTGCAAACGATATAAAGGAAAAGGTTACCTGTTGTTTGGGGTTTCATAAACATTTTTGTTTCGTACATCTTGAAGCCATAATTCATCAATACATGGGAAACACAAAATACAACACCTGTAATGTTACATGTAATGTTGAAAGTTTTTGCTAGACTTCATGCCCTATTGAACACGTTAGAAAAATCAATTACATGATTAGCTGCACTGTGGCACTTATTTAACAGCCTTTATTCTTGTATTTTAACATGACAGCGCAATATCGAATGCTTCTAATCGATAATTAGGACAAAAACGTTGGTGTCAATTTTGATGTTTTAGTAAAGGAAATCATTTGTTTTAGATGTTCATAGTTTATTTATGTCCCGTGAATATTTTATATACACAGGAATTACAATCAGCTATGCATGGTTTATGATTACAAAAGTTTTTATCTAAAACAATAAGACTAATATAATTAGCTCCTATAAATAAGGTATTTTCAAAATTTCTAATGGGTACAGATGTTTGAATAAAGAAATAAATTGAATATCAAAATGTACCTGGTTTCAACAACTCTTTTTTACGATCTCTGCCCATTCTAACGACGACTCCCCTTTCATATTGTTGAATAATCTGAAAGTATCATGAATGTAGATCTGGGTGTTTTATTCATATACAATACAGTCTTCCTTATATTTCTTTAGCACTTGCTATTTTATATCTGTTTTTTACCCTAATTATTTTCATGCGCTGGCGACATTGAAGTAAATATTTCAGTGTTAGGTCCTTAGACATGTATATTAATTAGTTTAGACATGAACATTTATAACGCATTCGTAAAACGCTACCATTAAACCAATGTTACAAGGTTTAATGTCTTCAACATTTCAGTAGTAACGTTTAAAATGTTATTGCATATTAAGTGAATGTATATTCTGATAAATTGTTGGTCTATCAAATCCCAGCATGTAATTGTCAACCATATATGCCGCCAATTTGGTACTGACGTACCGAAACATTGCAAGGTTTGGTTAAGAGGACAGTGTTAATCAAATACACAATGTGTTAAACGCTCAATAACCTGCTGAATTCTAAAGTGATTAGCCATAATGACCAGGCTATATACTGTTGGTTGACCAACTTCAAATTTTCATTCTGATATCCCAAATAAGGATAATGGCCTGTAACAAAATGGAAGCTGTACCGATTCATTAAAAAAGTCAGGAAATAATCTGATTTTCACATCATTGCAAGAGTTGTCGTTCACTATTTTATGTCCGTACAAATACAGATGAAACCACATAACTATTGTCAACATTCTACAAAACTGAAACGTCTAGTTGAGTATATATCAATAATTATCATTCAATCTTGGTTCGAGAAAACAGTAAAGTAGTGAAGATGTTTTAATGTTTAATGTATATGGCTGTATATAACGAGACGAAATATTCAAATAGCAGAAAGATACCTTTATGCTGGAAGGTAGAGTTATTGGAAAGGTAACAAGAATAAATAAGGCAGACAAACACACGGCGATGTATTCACATACTATCTGGAAGGTATCCGTGTCGTCGACCTTTTCTCTGGATGTTGATTTATTTTCCAAATCAGCTAAATAAAATAAATAAATAAATAAATGAGACCAGGAAAGAAACTTCAAACCCATGCGTTTTGTATTTACTTAGTATTTAATTCAAAATCATCTCTAATTTCTGAAAGGTCATTCTATAATACTGCACGTTTGCAATGTCGCTTTTCATTGGATACCCATGCCATTTATACATGTATATAAACTACTCGTATATACACAGCTGTTGCGAAATTATGAAGTAATGCTTCTGGAAAAGGAAGTTTGAATTATAATAAATTCGTTCTTAAGATTTTTGACATGATATATGACCGTATATGAACGGTTGTTTGCAATTTAACACTCGTCTCTTCTTTCTTCTCCTCGTACGTGCACGTCGTGGAGAAACAGGAAATCGGCAGAAAATTTGAAGAACTTGCGATGGCGCCAAAAAAAGAAAAAACAAAACAAAGGGAAAAAAAACCACAAACAAACAAAAAACAAACAGACTAACAATAAAGACCAGAGCTTGTACCTGCGGACCAGCTGCTGATGTCCTGACTAAAGCCGTAGGGAATGATCCTACACAGTAGGCAGGGCCTAAAGGTGACCTAATTTTGACTCAAAATTCATATTTTTTGCTAATACTCCATGGCAATTGCTTGAAATAAAATTATTGCCACTTTGTGTTTCAAAAATGAACCCTTTTAGGGCATGACTGGTGACATAATAGGGGTTGGTTGACAGCAAAAGCTGCGTTTTGTGCCTTAACGGGCGGACCATGTACAAACAGCCGTTTATATAGGGCCATATAACCTGTCAAAATTCTGTATATTAACTAATAATGGAAGATTAGATTCACAAAAAAAGGTTTTTGTACTTGTCATCAAATCAGGGTTCAAACGTGTAAAACATACTTCTACATGTTTCAGTAGTTATATAGATAACATATAACTGGCAACAGACTAAAACAACATAGAACTGGGTAGACAATGTAACAATAGCCGTGCAACACTTGTTCATGTATCATATTTAACTACGTTCAGCCAGGGACTTACCCTGGGCACTCTTACAAACACGCTTGCATGATTTCAGTCGGCAATATTACCTAGCCACGAATGATAACTCCTCTTTCGCCAAATTATTCCCCTTTTAAATGAACTCGAAGAATGGGCCTTTTTAAATACTTTGTATTTATTTATTCGATGTTTTTGTCAAGAAACGGACATTTTTTTCTTTAAGCTTGTATAATTTGATTTCTATCTATAAATGGTTGATATGGTAAACATATGAGTTTTGATGGTACACAAAGATATTTTCTGGACCGGAAGTACATTGTAACCGATTGTCTGCTACCTCGCTGTGATATGTCACCACGTATCGTATCGTACATGTAAATAATACATTAAATCGGTGAGAATATTGAGATATTTGTTTGACTTTCAGTTGAAAATGCAAAATAGTAATATGGAAAACAACTATGTGTAGTTTATGTGTATTGTTATCAATTTGTTTGGCTGATACATTTGTTGTAAAAGCCATCTACACTTAGTGTAGCAGTAGCCGGAGAACACATGTTTTATTTCTCACTTTATTGAGAAAAAGGCCATAGCCTCTTGACTTTGGCATGAACCATCGATGAAATTGCTGATTTGAAAAGTAAAAAAAGCAGGTGTACCTTTTGATTTTTGTAAAAACTGCATGAATATATATTTAAAGAATATTCCTATTGGGAAAAGGCTCTTTACAGTACAGGCCCCTGTTTATAAAAGATGAGAAAATCACTGCACACAATTAAATGAATGCATATATATCAATGATTACTACATGAATCACAATAATAACTGTGAGATTTGAAAGGCAAGAATTTATATCGTTATCGTAATGTATTTTTCTTGCACAGTCGGCCATTTTGACGCCGCTTCGTAGCAAACCACGTTTAAAACGTGAACGGTAACTTAACGAGATATGGCTTAGCGCAAGCACGCGCACTGACTTCCGCTCTGTCGAAATACTGCATCAGAGGAACTTGAAATTCTATCAATATTAACAATAATATGCAAAATATACCCCCATATAGTATAAAAAACAGTATATAGGGGATATTTCATTAATATTGGTTATTTGTTCCTGTGATATACATATAGCGAAAGTCCGTAAGTGCTGGGTCTTACCCTAGTTCAGCGTACATGTACATATAGACGTTATATACTCGTGTATATACTATATAGTTCAAATAAGTTAATTATTAAACAGTTTCGTTAATAGAATAAACATCGTATGTAATCAAAATAGATCAAATTTCTGTAAAATAACATGTAGTTTAAAATGTAAACATAAATGTTACCTGCTTCTATCCGTTCAGTTGACATGTTTAAAAATAAACCCGACGATCAATATATACATGAATGAATGGTGAAGATATCGTTATTTATATAAGCGTTGCATTGCGAAATCAACATTTTAAGATCCAATAGTATTTAGGAATCTGTAAGCGTGAATAATTTTAAAGTCACAACAGGTAATATAAAGGATCAATTACTATAATCTCGACCTGATCAGCCAGTAACTATGAGTTTCCAATTATCAGTTAATACCACCTTTATAAATCCTTAACAACGTGTTTTGTTCGCGTCTTTAAAGGTGTGTAACACCGCACTTTGGGGTCAAACGCATTTTGGGGTCCGACCCCAAAGTGTGTCACGTACTCTGGCCCCGTGTTCACAAAGATTAAAGGATCAGGATCAAGATCAGGATCAAATTTAAAAACCCTAATATTCTTCATTGTTTATCCTCATAGATTAAATATCTAATATTAGTTTGATAAAACTGGACTTGAAATAGCATGTATATGAAATTTTAGAATAAATTAATTGTTAATTTTGCAAGATATGGGCATTTTACAGTTGATCCAAATATTGATCCTGATCCTAAAATTGATCCTTATTTTGATCCAAATATTTTTTGTATTTGTTTTATTATTTGTTGATTTTATCCTAAAAAAATTGTTTTCTTTGCAAATCAGCATATTTTTACATTTTGAATATTTGCCATTTAATTCTGGCAAAACACAAATAATTTTAGTAACATTAAACAATGAAAATAAAATCAGGATCACTTGATCCTGATCCTGATCTTTTCTTAGTGAACACGGGGCCTGGGGTCCAACCCCATAGTGCGTTACGCACTTTGGGGTCATATTTTGACCCCAGAATGCGTACATGTAATACAGGTACATATGCAATCTTTAACCGCAATTTGGCGTCATAAAAATTTTAGAGATATTTTAAGGTAATATCTTGCAGTTAACTAAAAATAAGGAATGAAGTTGGCTCAATGTATCAAGTCGAATAACAATAGAAGAGGGTAGTTTTTTTTATTTGTAGTATCCAGGGTTGCAATTTGAAATGAATTATAACTTTTTATATTCAATTATATGTCTCATAGAATAGAGGCATTAAAGTAAGATATATAAATATGTTTGATGTGTATTGAGTGTTATAATAGATTCTTTTTGCATTTCAGACAAGATTATCAACTGTTTACACGAGTATTAGAAAAAAATTAGACATTTATTTTTTTTAATTTATAAACAAAACTCATGGCACTTAAGGGCATAAAAGTGAACAAACAAACAATACAACAACTAATGATACAAACATGGCAAAGAAGTAAATAAGTAAATAAGGAAGATGTCTTAGCGAAATTTCAGCATTATTGCTTTAACAAAAATGGCTAGTAGATTTAATAAAGTATTTCTGTTGTCGCTACTCATTAGAGCCTGAAAATTGAAAATACTAGGAAATCTTGAATAGTAATTACTGATATACTTGTGTCTTTCTTGAGTAAAATAACTACATTTAAAAATATATAGTGAAATTCATCACCTATTTCTTGCTGGTTACAAAGTGAGCATTTTCTATTTCATTACCAAAATAGCGACCTTTTTCTATAGGTATATCAGAATTGAGACATCTAAATTTACAAAGGATAATTGCTAAATTGCTTGGTAAACATAGTAAATAACGTTTTAATTCAAATTGAGCTTGATATATTCTATGATTTAAACACTTAGCAGAATTGAAAACATCACTATTCCAAACTTGTAAAAACTGACCATGTAATCGTGATTTTATACATATTTAAAGTTACAAGTCGCGGGCTTTATTTAAGACGTTTTAAAGCCTCGTTTACGCTGTAAACAGTAACCCTCGAGCTTGATATTCCGGTCTGTATCGGTAGCCGGTGTAAGATTCTGATAGTATCTGTCCATGAACTAGCGTTATGCGCCGATAATTGCAGCGGTTGTGTAGATTTTCCCTATTTCTAGCTATTTCTAGGTAATTTTACTGTACCAATTAATTGTTGAATGATGTAGGGAAAAGACTTGCATTGAAAAGAACTCAGGGGGTGCCATTGTGTTTAAAAACATATAAGATATTTTTGGTCATTTAAGAATAGCAGCGTTTCAGCGGTACATAAAACAAGATACATTTTCGAAAACCTTTCAAGAATTCCTATATTACCTGTAAGAATTCATTAATTTAGAATATAAAACGCCTCGTGCTATAGATCAACGTTTTCATTAAATTTCACCCGTGTCATTACAGTTTTAGTCTCAAGATGGCGTCCAAAAAGGCAACAAATTGAAAGAAAGTCCTTGCGGACATATTAATGTATATTTAAAAATACTTTAAACATACTTACAGCAGCATTACATTATTGAAATAACAGGGTGTGAAAACGGCAGCTTTATACAGCAACCAAAAATACATTTATTTAAAGGCATTTACTGATCGAGAGATCCGTGAAGAAATAAATTGTTTTACAAACTACATTTTCTTCTAAAATTTTAATGATTTTCGACATTATATACGTTTTCATTACCGATGTCTTGTGGTCCATATATTTAGGGAATATCTAACATTGTGAAATAGCCCTCATGCAACTTTACTATGATAAAATGTTACTTCTAACTTACTTGTTACAAGTCATTTAAGTATATGTATAGCATATTTAGTGCGTTTCGAAGTTAGTCGCACTTAGGAGTCGGATACCAAAGTGCGTTTGAGCGGTCGATGCCTGTATTGGTGAGACAGTATTACTAGTATTCCGTGATACCGAAAATGAAAAAAACAATAAAGCTATAACATATATAATTGCTGTTAAATGTCAATTGTGTCTGTCCATTTGTTTAATCAAAACTTGGTTTTCATGGTAGTTACAATCTTACATATTTTATCTTTAAATTTATTTTAATATGGTTGAAGACTCTTTTTAATAGGGAAGCGCTTATTGAAATAAAATGTCTGATGTTAATAAGCGTGTAAAAAATATTAGTCATTATCTTAATAAAATGGCTGAAGTATAGAAATATAATTGACCATGAAAAATTGAAAGAATAATGATAGTTTGTCTCTAGTATCGGTCATTAATGTAAAGTCAAAGCTCTTGGCAACGCCGCTTTAAGTGTCATCTACATTGTTTATCTGTTTTGCTTTGAGGATTTCTATTTCATAACTTGTGGAGGGTGCAAAATGACTATCTCTCGGAGTGATTTAATTTGTATCTCCGATATAAACACGCCAAAACAAGCGGTTAACAAATGTGACTTTATGTCTGTTTATATAGAGGGATACGTCTATGTAAAAGAGTCACCAAAGAACATAGTTAGATCTGTATTATAGCATTTGACTTAACCAGGAAAATAAAAATAAATTATTGTGGTTTCATCTCTTTTTTTAAACATTTAGCTTTCTCGTTTTACTGATAGAATTCGGAAAATACGATTCACCTTAAATATCGAAATAACAGGAACTTTGTCATGAAGTTAGAATAACGATAACAGTTTAAAGTATTTTAGTACAAGTGTAGGTTGAATAAGGAAGAAAATAATCGAGTATAAAACTCAATCTACACATTCTCAAATTTATATGAGCAATTTATAAGACGAAAATATGAGCAGTGCTAACTCTCGAAGTGATTCAGTCGGTGAAATAATTTGTATCTCAGATATAACGCCAAAACAAGCGGTTAACAAATGTGACTTTATGTCTGTTATATAGTGAATTACTCCGAGAGTTAGTCACTTAAATCAAAATAATACGTATACTGTTGAATATAAATTCGTTTAATTCATTGAAGACTGAAAAAAGTAAAGAGACGTGATAAAAGTCTCGGTTAAATGATTATTGTTTTTGGAACAATTCAATAAGAAGTAATTACATATAAATTTACAGATCAAAAATTGAACATTTTATTTATTGATTAATACAATGAATACGAAGTTTCACATAGTTACGTTTCTGTGCTGTGCTTTTCAAATATAAATTGCAGACATCTATTTAAAACTTACAATGTAACAAAACTGTAATTAGTAATAAACGACATAAACTTTTCATTAAAACTTAAGATAAATTGTAATATCAAAGTGATAACATTTTAAGATATGGTATTTTATATGACATCATATCGTCTACAGTATGTTAAATATGTTTAACATTTGTATTAATTGTACTTTTGTTTTGTACACGTTAAACTGCATTTTGATGACATTCATATGACAAATACGTAAATGAAGGAATGGAATAATGTACATGTATTTTGGTAGAGAGAATTTACCAATTTTATGTATAAACTCTATAAGTTTTTCATGCACCTAAACTAAAATATTCGGAGAGATATTCTCGTAGTTGTAGTCTGCAAACAAAAGTTTTGTTTTGAATGATTATTAAAGGAGTTAGGCTATACTGTGGTTAAGAAGGCTTAAACATAAAATTTTACATTTTTACAACTAATATATCAATTAAAGCATTTAAAATAAAAAATCTGCAAAGGCAAGTAAAGAAATATACCCAGAATTAAATTCAAAATCGATAAAAGTGCAATTCTTGGCGCAATTTAGGAAAAAACCGTTGCAACGCTTTTCATTGATATGTCATTTTATACAATAAAAATGATTACTCTGGAAAAATGGGTTTAGGGAATGATCTAAAAATGCACGCACGTTGTTGATTCAGACCTACATCAAATGACACACAAATCATTTTGCACACAAACATTTCCAGTCTTGTCATGTCAAAAATATGGAACGCCTGGACTGTCTTATGTTAAGAATGAATGATATACCTGGTTAAATGTCTTTCTGTTGAGTCCGAGATACAAAATGCTGGGTGGAAATCCTAATGTGCTCAGTTATTGAAGTGCTATGTTGTGTGCTGACTGTATTTTATTCAGTCAAGTCAATGTATTGTCGGGTGCATAAGTCGTTATGTTCAGTTCTTAAAACAAACAGGCATGTGGTAACACAATTATGTTGAGTTAAAAAGATATGTTGTAGGGTGTTACAGTTATTATGTTCGGTTATAATAATATGCTGTTTGGTGCTCTTCTCATCATGTTCAACCATGAAAATAAACAGTTGAGTGGTACTATCATTTTGTTTGGCTGAGGCAGTGTATTATTGGGTGATACTT